ATTTTCAAATGAGTGATGTATGAACTTTATTTCACTTTCCAATAAATTTGTAATAACTATTTTTGTCGATGAAAAGTTTATTTATTTTGTTTTAGTGGGTGTATATTTCATTTTCCGATTTCAAAATTTTGATACTCAAATAAGATTTTTTAAACTCACACTTATTTCTGAAATACGTTATTTAATTTTTAATTACGAAACCCATATTATTTATTATAATTTGGTTTTGATTTGTTGATCAATTGACCTGCATGACTCTGGATCGTCAATCTAATTGATTTACCCCACTTTAAGGAATCCAAATAAAGAAAAAAATATCAATGCTTCTGACCTTTTTATGTATTGCTGTTAATGCTCTAAAAAGAGGCCTAGCTCACGCTTAGTTTCTGTCCCAAATAGTGTTGGCAGGCGAAACTATTTTTGGCAAATGGCGAAAGACGATACCAGGCGAAACTCTGGCAAAACGGCGAAACTCTGGCGAAACCTCTGGTAACATTGAAACCCCTGGAGAAAGTCAAAATTCAGTGAAGATCAAGCCCTCTAAGACTTTGAAAAAGACTGAGCCATGTTAGTATTTTGCATGTGGCTATTAAGCACAGTATATTGCTGATTTAAAAATGTACAAAAGCAATAAACAAAGTGATAACCTTTTGTTTATATTTAAGTACCATTAAAGAAAACTAGATTTCCGGCTTTGAAACTTCGAAGTAAATAAATTCAGCCTTGAAAATTCAAAACCTAAAATCTTGTTTTTGTTTTTAGTAGCTCTTATCTATGGATTAATATTATTTATATAAAATAAACATATCCAATATTTACTGTAAGTAAATTTAGTGTTAGAGTGTTGAGATTTTTTTTAATATTTCATCATTAAAAACTTTTATTAAATACTGTACATATGTAAGTAGTTCATTAATACTATTATTATTGGCCAATATTTCCCGATACTCTATTTTATCTAGCTCTAAATCTTAGGGCTAACTTTAAGGAAATAATTGTTGTTATTAACTTATATAGTAATAAATAAAATGTAGTAAAATTTAGATTATTGATCAAAAAACATCATATACAATAACATAATTATGCACATATTGTGTTTCAAATTAAATTTGTATTAGTTAAAATTAAATATTAGATTAGGTAAGAGTCTATGTAAGAATTAGTAAATGTATTTATTTTGAAATCTAAATCTGGTTATCATAGTTAGTTATCTAGGTAGTAATATTTATAAATATAGTTATTATTATTATTTATTTTCTAAAATTTATCTTTTAAAAATATAGTTTTTTAGACTCTATAATTTATAAATACTATATTTGATTTACTATTTATTCAAATATAAATATATAATTTATTTTTTTTTATATTTTAGAAATTCAATATTATTTTTTAAAATGAGGTTTGTTAAAATATCAAATAACTAAATTATAAATTAAATGTTTTATCTATAATTTTAAATTATATAAATTATTTATGCAATCAAACCTCTCTAAGTGTACCTTTATAAATGTGCAATCTCTAAGTACATGCACAGATTCTTGTCCAAATATATACTTGCTCTTTATAAATATACCTTTTCTTATTATTCTCTAAATGTATATTTTAAAAATATCTTTGATAAAAATAGATAATCTATAAAGTTATTTTATTTAATTTATAAATAAATTTTTATTATAAAAAATCTATATATTGTAATAAACATAATATGAATAATATATAATATTATATATATAGAAATAAAAATAGTTATTATATAAAAAAATTTTAATACGTATAAAAAAACTCTTTCTGCTTATCACCTGTACACAAAATTTCGCCCAAAATATTTTTTACTTTTTCTCATTTATACAAAATTTTATTAAGTTAACAACCTTTAGTCACTTAATAACATTTGTTCAGCTACCGTTTCTACATATATCTGTGAAGTTTCAAGTCTTTATCTCTTATCGTTCTCGAGATATTCAATTTACAAGGACAGACGGACAAAACTCTGTCCTCTCCCCAAAGTTTTGCTCTTCTTGACAAACTGGGCTTAATAACATACTGAAACCTCATAATAGAATTTGCAGAGCTCATCTCTGGCTTCAAAACAAGCTATAGTACATCAAATTTGACCTAAAATTGATCATTCTAGGACTCAAAACATCAAAACTCTCTCTTTTACTCTCTAAATTTTTAAAAAAGTTCCTTCGTAGTTTACCCCTATCCAAATCGTTTTTTGTGTAACATT